GCTCTGGCCAGGCACCCCCCACTGTGCGAGCAGCCAGCAGGGGCAGAGGGAAAGCTGGGCAGACCCCTGAGAGCAGAGACAGGGGCGTTTAATTCTTCTCCCTACCCTGCTTCACCTGAGATGCTGCCCATGCCAGTGTTTGGCCTTGGGGACATGCCTGGCAAGGGCTGCTTCCCCCCTCCCCTTCCAGGCACACCCCAGCTGGGGTCCCCGCAGGCCAGGGTGGGAATTTAAACCCCTCCCCAATCATACTTAGCTGCCAGCTGGGGGCCTGGCCGTGTTCCCCTACCCCCAGGTCAGCTTCCCCTCAGCCTTGCAGCTGCTGAGAAAGGGAAAAGAGGGTTACTTTAGTGCCCCCCGGCTTCTAGCCTGAACCACTGCAGGCATGTACTTGCATTTCTGGAATCAAAAGTGAATGTCTATTCACTTGCAAATCAGTTCCATCTATCCAGGTTAGACTAACCTGCAAAGATTGAATCAGTTCAGACTCGGACTTTTTGAATGTCTGTCCCTAGCCTTAAAGACTCAAGAACTCCTAAACCAAACTCTCACTCTGCTTACAAAGCTCAATTGTTCATGAAAGCAGTAACAGATTGAAATGGAAGTGAAGGAAAAGAGAACCTAAACTAGAAGTGCTAGTGACAAAATGAATATAAATGTAGGTAGGGTGATTTAATTTACATTTTGGAGGGAGGGTACCAAAGGTTCAGACAAACACTTATTTCACTTGGATGAGTATCAGACTTCTGCAAGTCTGATTTTTTATTTCCATATTAAAAGAGAAGGTGAAAAAGAAGTCAGGAACCAGACTATAATGTCTAATGCATAACAGAGAGCAAATTAGGCAAAGAAATGTGGTATGTACAAAATGACCAGCACTGAGAAGGCAGGCAACAGTATTAATATTCTGAATGACAAACTACTAATAAATATAGGAGACGATCGACTGGTTGTGAAACTGCAACACCTCCATTGACTTTAATTGGTCTATGGCAATTTATACCAGTTGTAGATCTGCCCCCTTGGGTACATGCTATTAGTATATTATGTGGGGTAAATTAGTTAGCAAAACAGAACCACAGAAGGGCACCAAGAATATACAGGATGCTTAAAAGAAAACACATGAAGTCAAGTGTATACCCAGTATAAATGATTTGTGGATCAGTGGAAAGCACTAAAGCACTAATTGTGTCACCCCTGTTCATGAAAGAGTAGCACTGCAGGCCATGTGCAGTCCCAATGAGCTCAGTGGGAATACCTGTGGAGTAAGGTGCTCCTCGACGTGAGGGAGAATGGCAGCACAGGTCTGAAAATAATTAAGGAAGACAGGAGAGTTTACTTGGAAATAAAAAACTCGTGGACAAGGATGAAGGATGTAATAAACCAGACAAAAATTGAAAGGAGTAAAGAAAACAAATGAAATAAGAAGGGGAAAAAAAGAAAAAAAGAAAACCATAAGGGGATGTACATAAACTAGTTATCCTGTAGTAAAAAGGGTCTGGGATTTAGCGGGTGTCAGATGCTCCACAATAACTGTCCACATTCATGATATTGGCTCGCAGTAGATAAAAGTGAACAGCGGTAACTTAGCCTTCAGTGTGTATGTCCATACTCCTAGTGAGGATTTGCCCTGGGGGTCACCATTGACTAGCCTTACGCTCCCCATGCCACCCCACTTTGTGGTAGCTGAACACCAAGATGACCAAGTCCTGCTCTTTCACGAATCAGTCTGCACAGCGCTTGTCTCTCTTTCTAAGCTTGACTCTAATTAAAAGTGGGTACAGGAAAGTGGGATGCAGATGGGCTGGAAGTCAGCCACAAGTGTCAGGGATTGCTGCTGGTAGACTTCCTGTCCTGGCAGCCTACAGCACCCAGAAGAGTTATGAACATGCTTCAGGAAGAAGGAACAGGGAGGGTTGACCTTAGGCCTTGAAGATCAGGAGACCTTCCTGAGGTGGGCTGGACTGCAAGCTGCTAGCCTAAAGAAAAGGGATTTTAATATAGGCAGTCAGCAGATTCAGGCTAGCAATATAGACCTACCCAATAAAAGAGGTCTAGGTTACTAAAGGGAAGCTTTCAATCACTTAGTGCTATGGGAAGAGCATCACATAGGTAGTTACTGTGGAGCATATGTGCAGTAAATACCGACCCCTGTTATGCTGTGGTATCTGATGCCATAAAGCAAAAACAGAAATTAAAATTGAAATACAGAAACAAATGTTTAAGCACTATAGGCAAGCATTCATTCAGATTATCAGGGCCTAGACAAAAGTTAAATCGGCAGATGACTTATTGCTCACAATTAATTTTCTCCCTCAGGTTTCACAGACAGCCAAAAGCTTGAAGACTAAGATACATCTATTCTTTGCTTGTTTTAAAAGAGAAAAAGTTTTGGCATTACACATTAAAAAGCTTAACCCAAGAGACCTTCATAAGCAGCTTGATTTTCAGAAGCACCTACAGTTTCTGTTCATTTAATAGGAGTCAGAAAAATCACAGGAAAAAAATCACAGATCCATTATTAAGATACCAAACATCAGGCATCTCAAGTCTAAAAATCCTATAATGAAGAAAGAAAGAAAAAAGCCACCTACTTCCATGTACAAATAACATGAAGATAAGGCTCAGTTCTGCCAGACAGGTCTGGCTATGTGAACCACCCATTCATGACCACTAGGTTTGATTCCGTAACTAGTATCTAGAAAAAATGCAGTTAGCCATGTTAGTCCAAAGTCAGGCAGAAGGCAGGACAGGGTGGTACCTTACTGACTAACTGGTTCAGAGAGGCACAAGTTTTCATAAGTGACAGCCTACGTCAAGATCTGATGTTATCTGACAAAGTAGGCTGGCACCTACAAAAGCTCATGCTTCTCTGAACCAGTTAGTCACCAAGATGTCAGCTTGCCTGCCTTCTGCGTCAGATCTATAAAAAAGCTACATGCCCTGAGATACTTCCAGTCTGTGAAACAGGTGAGGGGATATCCTTGCCACTGAACTGTTCCTGGGATTGGGAAGAGTTGAGATGCTGCTGCCCACCCACACCTTCCACAGACCTGGGTGATCTGGGTCTATAAAGGTATAGGGGAACATTTCCCTGTGGCTGTCAGGAACCCTGGGCAACAGTACTGAGATCTCAACCCTAGTTTGCCCATAGGGTTGAGAGGCAGGCTGCAGGCTGGAACAACCTGTACATTCCCTGGCTTGTAAGGATTTCCAGAGCTGCAAATTTCCCAGAATTTTGCAGTGCTGGAACTGAATGCCTGTCCATACCCTTAAGTTTCCCTCTGTGGGACCCGTGGGAAAAGGGGGCTTTGTTGTGAGTTCCATCAGATTACCTCTAACCCATCATTCTTCTAATACCACCAACACTAATATTACATTGGTACAATGGACACTGAATGAATACATTCACACAACTCACAAAGCCAAACCAAACAGAAAACTCTATAAATCACATTGAAGTATTCCTCTGATAAGTTAGAAAAGCAGAAAAAGAGATCATTGTTCTTTTAAAAATTCTTTAGGAGTTGCTCAGGTCCTATAGTTAAGTGGGGTCATAAAAGTGACAGACGTGTAACAAAATTTGTTACACTAATCCCCACTGCTCTGACCAAATCCTATTTTGGATAATATATTCTTCATTTCCTCCCTTAAGCTGCTGTGGCTTTCTATGCGTGGTTCGACAAGTGCAATACTTTAGTCCAATGCTGGTTGCATTGTAATGAGGGGTGAAGAGTCTATGTACAGCTTGTAACAGAGGACAAAGTCACTGAATCCAGTCTCCTACCACAGGTATCATGTCAGGTACTCCCTTCTGCAAACTCACTTAGCTCCATCTTAAAACCAGTTAGGCTTTTTTTGCCCATTTCCCCAGTGGAGGGCTGTTATAGACACCAATAGCTAAATGTCTTGAGAATCTACTGGATAAAAGGCACTATATAAATGGAAATTATGTCATTATCCAATAATTTCTATGCTTTAAAGTTCATTTTGTTATATAACTGGAAGAGGGGAAACTACATTCAAACAGAACTAGCCAAAGCTGGTGCTAAACTTTATGAAAGATGATGTGTTAAAAACCAATTAAAATAGAGACTCGGCAATTTGCCCATTCACACTTTGCAGTGAGAGCTCCCCACCACTTCCAAACTGGTAAAATGTTAACAGGCTAATGTAAAATGGATTAACACAACCTGACTTATAGTGCTAAAGGCTTAACAGATTTAGTTCCTAAAGCTGGCTTCTAAGACAATAAAAAATGACTGTTGTGATTCTTTTACACAGCTTTGTTGTTCTGTCTGCTTCATAGGTGCAATGTGACATCTCATCTGCAACATCCTGATAATTGTTTAAATATATTTTCAAAAATAACTGAATGAACATGATAAAGTTAATATGGTAGAATCAAGACTCAACCAAAAAGCTTACTTTCATCTTCCAGAGTAAAGTATAGATTTTTTTTTTGTGGGGGGAAAGGGGGTAGGGTACAGGGGAGAGGAAGCCTACAGAAATGAAACTGGTAAGAGTAAAATTTTAAAAACAACAGGTGCATGCAACTCTTAATTGCCTTACTTGTAGTTTTTCTCCCAGAACTTGACTGGTCTGGCATATGATGTGATAAAAATGACGCTACCAAGAAACGGACTCAGTGGAGCAGAAAAGATCGCGGTGCCCAGAGTTTGAAAGAAAAGCATAGCAGAGTCTGAGCATTTCAAGTTAAGGTAACACAAATGTTTTCATCAGACTTCTAAAATCATTCTTCAGATGGCTCTTGACCTATTTATTTTTACCGTATTTCCCCAGGTCAGACACAAATAACTAATTATCAAGATGAGCACTGTAGCTATAAGAGTTAAACAGTTCCAGTAGCGAGCACTGTGTGTTACAATGAAAAAGGCAGCGTAGAATGTCAGCTGCCAGGGACAGCAGAGAGCCCTCTGTTTGATTTCCTCCAGAACAGAGTTCCTGTGGATAGGCAAAGTTACTGGCCATTTTCAGCTGCTCTAACCCCACTAACACATTATCTCTAATGATTTTTGCTGAAATTCCAGAACTAACACAGTGGGAGTTGTGTAAATGACAGAAAAAAAAGATTATTATTAATACTGTTTTACAGAAATGCGGCCATTATCAAACCCGCCTAAAGGGAAGTGGTTCCTGCAAGTCAACCTCATGTTAGTTTTTACAATATTGCTGGAGAGTTACAGAGTGTACCATTCATAACTTCGGAAGTGGACACAAAATGAGAAGAACATTGCAGGTGAGTAAAGAACATAAAAACCAGGGTATCTGCCTGTTTCATATAGCAGTTCATTTGAGATTGCTGAAAAATGTGTCTAGGCCAATGATTCTCAACTAGGGTGCCACAAGAGCCTTTGAGGGGTGCCACTGATGGTGTGAGGGGATAAGTGGATAATGGCAGGTTCAGGATCTCCCTGCCTAGTAGTTCCCCTGCTCCTGCTGCCCTGCCTGTCAATAACAAATAAATTAATTTTGAAATGAGGTGCCACCCAATTCACAAAACTCATGGAGGGGTGCCTTGAATCAATATGGCGTGCCTTGAGTCTAAAAAGGTTGAGAAGCATTGATTCAGGCAATACAGTAAAGAGACAGCTATAAAGAATGTAAGTTAGAGAACGATTAAAAAGAAAGTCAAAGTCAAATAATGCCCTTGACACACTGATGTTCTGTGGAGAAATGTTGTACGTAGTTCCAAAGCAATATGCATGTTGGTTTCAATTATTCTTCTGGAGTAAATAATTTCTATTAAAGTACAACAAATATCAAAGCAGTGGCTCTTCTCTGAAACCACACTTAAAGTCCAGCCACTCAAGATCAACAGTCTCTTGATTCAGCCTGTTCTACTAACGGCAGTTATATCACTCTGCATTCTTAGAAAGATTAAAGTCCAATTTGTGATGCATATTTGACTTTCACTTACCTCAACAATAGTCATATTGGTTCCCCCTTCCCCCCTCAAAATCTAATTCATCAATTGCCTTGGAAGTAATAGTCAGCATTAGCAAGCATTTAGACATGGATAGCATTGAAATTCCTTCAATTTATTAAAAGAGAGTGATCTGGAATAGAGCCTGAGAGCATGAGTGAGTTTGCAAGCTGAACTTCCTTTGAAAGTTACAAGTTCAAAAACAAGGAGAGAATACAAAGAAAGAAGAACACGTCAACAAAGTTAAATTCTCATATTACCCCGTAAGCATAACTAGGATTGGCCGTAAAGAATTATTTGCAAGTGTCAAATAAGAGCACAGGAGCTGAAAAGATACAATGAGGAAAGATAAAGGCAGGCAGAAGATTCCTTCAAAGTAATTAACAGCATAATAGTTGTTAGCATCATGAGTTAGGAAATTTGGAAGTTCACTACAAAATCTTTGCGTTAAAAATACAAAACGATACCAATCTCTCTGTTGGCCAAAAGATAAACTGGCCTATTATATGCAACTCAGAAGACAACTCTCATTTGACTTTTAGAGGGTGCATCTACACATGCACTTCACTATAGAGTAGACTAATTAGCTCTGCCGGTCTGCAGCAGAGTTGGCTGCTGAACTGGAAGTGGCTGCAGACTCACAAACTGCAGCCCCTTCAGAGCTGGGTGGGGAGGCCGCAGCTTCTTGTGCAGGGCCCACAGCAGCGCAGGGTTTGGTCTGTACCCCCACTTGGGGGGTGGGGGTATCCTTACCTGTCTTCCGGCTGGAAATTCCTGCCACAGTAGGCTGTCACTGCTGGGCTGTGGTTTGCCAGGCCACAGCATAAAATCTTTAGGAACCCCTAGTCTAAGTGTAATGTGTAACTTTACCCTCAGTCCCTTAGAAACCAAAGCCCAATTCACAAAAGTGATAAGGGCTTTACACCACAAGTAAATAGGACTAAATTAGTAATATCAGGGCTGTCCAACTGGTGGCCAGCAAGTAGCTATGGTGGCCTGCTGCCTTGGTGGCTGCCTCTCCTGCTGCAGTGTAGTAGAGAAAGGCCTAGGGGTCCACATGCCACCTATGCAGCCCACACAGTGTGCGGCAAGGAGGTGGCCACATGCTGCCAGTGGGGGAAACCACCTACTGCCAGCCCAACAATGGGAGAGTTCCCAGGGGGCCACCTGGACAGTATGCACCCTGCCACATACAGGTATCATGTGAAGCCCCTGACAGCACCAAAACTGGACAGCTCTAAGTTATGTGTTTTGGAAATTATCATACATTCATTTGTAACTGTTTGCAGAGTTGGACACCACTCTGTTCTACTCTCACATGTCCAATATTCTTTAGGATTTCCAAAATCAATTTGTTCACTATAATTTTTTGTTGGATAAATTAAACATGTAATATGAGCAGTGAAGTAATTTCATTATGTTCAAACCGTATCAACGGTTTGTAATTTATGAAGATGAGTATTTATTAGGTTATGTGCTAAGGGCTTCATAAAATTAATGAAGTGTTAAGAAAGCAAGGTTTCAAGTGGAAATATGTGCTAATACTAGTCTACTCTTTTTAAAAAGCAGAACACTGAGAGCTGTCTAGTTTCAGACTATTATTACTGAACACCTCAAACTTTAATAACTCTCTTAAGCCTACATCCCACTTGCATGCACAAGCAAGTAATTCTATTGGGTCTTCAATCCCTGGAGGCAGAGGGTAGACCAAGGTCAACTTCCAGGACAAGGGAGGACTCAGGGACCTCCCATTCTGTCCAGCCAAGGGGTTGGACCAAGGTGGTCAAGGGCCTGAAGACCTGTTGCAACAACGTCCTCACCCCACTGGAGCTTTGCAATAGGTATGAACCTCTTGCAGCCCCAGCAGAGCCTGCTAAGCTGCCAGATCCTGTAGGCAACACAGGCTCAACTTTAGCTACTGCTCCCACTCTCCCTAAGACAAAACACAAAGTGTTTGTCATGGGAGACTCCATCCTGATGGGCACTGAGGGAGCAATCTGCCGCCCTGACACCTTAGCCCAGGAAGTCTGCTGCTTCCCAGGAGCCCGTATCCAAGACATCACGGAGAGGATCCCTTAGCTCCTCTGGCTCACTGACCACTACCCTATGCTCCTTATCCATGTGGGCACAAATGACACAGCTCAGAGCAATCCCAGCTGGGTCATGAAGCCCTACAGGGATTTGGGAGTGGGGCTTAAGGGGTTGGGGGCACAGGTGGTGTCTTTCTCAATCCACCCAGTTTTGGGCTACGGGCTGAGGGGGGAGAGGAGGATCCAGATAGTGAACCAAAGACTACAGCGCTGGTGTCATTGTGAGGGCTTCGGCTTCCATGACCCCACTCCGCTCTTTGGTGAGAGGCAGCAAGCTGCTGGGAAGGGATGGCCTCCACCTCTCTCTGCTGGGGAGGAGGCTCTTCTCAGCCAGACTAGCTGACCTGCTCCAGCGGGCTTTAAACTAAGCTCGCCAGGGGATGGGGGGACTACTGCCACTGCTGACCTGCTGAGCAACCTTTGCAAAGCCAGCAAGCCAAAGCAGTTAAGAGAGCCCACCCCTGCCCCAGCCCTGGTACAATCTGTGGGCAAGGCAAGGGCCCCTAAAGGGACACTTGCATGCCTGTACAGAAATGCCAGGAGCTTGGGGAATAAACAGGAGGAACTTGTCCTCTAGCTTAACACAAATAATTATGATGTCATAGGGATAATGGAGAGCTGTGCCACAGGTGTAGATGGCTATACCCTGTACAGGAGAGATTGAGTGGACAAAAGGGGCGGGTGTGTCTCTCTCTATGTCAAGGAGAGCTACGCGTCCCTGCAAGCCAATACTGGTGCCCAGGGTGGATGACTGGAGACCCTCTGGGTTAAAATCTGTGGGGAACATGGTGCAGGGGACACAATGGTGGGAACCTACTACAGACCTCCTACCCAGGATCAAGACCTTAACCAGGAGTTGACCAGGGAATTGGCTGAGGCCCCATGCTCCCGGTGCCTAGTTGTCATGGGAGACTTCAACTACCCAGACATCTCATGGGAAGAGCACTTAGCCAAATCCAAATGGTTGTAAAGCTTCCTCACATGCATGGATGAACTCTATTTGATGCAAGAAGTCTACCAGCCGACGAGAGATAAAGTGCTGCTTGACCTGGTACTGGCAATGGCGGGACATCTAATCAGATTTAATGATCAAAGGGAAGCTGGGTGACAGTGACCATGAGCT